GGAGAAGAGGCGGGAAAGTGGGCTGAGAGCAGATTAGCAACTAGAAAACAGAAGGGAAATTGAATGATTTAAAACTGTTTGCCGTGCAAAGCAAAAGGGAAAATGGGGGTGCCTACTTCGAGATCGAGTGGTTCGGCCGGGAGATTTGCTGCACGGAGGGTGGTGGCAGAAAAAGAGGCAACAGCTTGCTTTCGGGTGATGAGGTATCTTGGACAGGAACGGAGGAGTTGGGTCACAGTGGAGGGGAAGCGGGCGAGAAAAACACCCGCATGGTGGGGTTGTTGTCCAGGTGAGATTGGAGCACGTGACTATCTGCGTCAGCCACAGGAGGTTGACGAATCCCACCCCAGGCGGCAGTCAACAGACAGGGCCTGAACTTGGAATCTCTTGTTGGGGGGACAGCCCATTGCAAGGGGCGGCGAGCTCCTAATGCTTGGTTAAAATGAACACAAGAAGTCATCACCAAAAAACACATGATGGGTGCCTGTTTACGTGACGTGGACCGGGCTGCACTTAACGGTTGCCTACCTTACTTGTCAGCACGAAGCCAAGGAACTCTACCACTAAAAAGTAGCGGCCGAAACACTGGCCCAATTCCTCAAGCTGTCACTGAGCTGTTAACTAAGTAGCTACCGATCGACGTCAACACACCGTGCACAGCTCCAGTCTAGTCAATGCATGCATTTGCTCTTTGTCTTGTTATTCTTTAACTCGTTTTGCTTTCTTTCTTCATCTTACATAACTTGCTAGTGCTATTGTACAATACAGAGCTCTCAAGTCCCCTCAGGGAGACTGCTGCGTAAAAGGGGGAAAGAGGGGAGATTAGTACAAATGGCCGCAGTTATACATCCTTTTTAATAGTAACACCAATGCCCATGCCCCTCGCCCAGTTGACTTTTTTTTAATACAAGAAGACATTTTGATCATGGATCATGTTTTTACATCATACCACCCATGCCTCCCATTCCGCCCATACCACCCATGCCGCCCATAGGAGGAGGTCCCTTCTCTTCGGGAGCCTCAACGATGGCGACCTCAGTGGTACCGAGCAGGGAAGCAACACCGCTGGCGTCAACCAGACCGGTGCGGACGACCTTGAAGGGGTCAAGGATACCGGCGGCAATCATGTCGACGTACTCGCCCTTGGAGGAGTCGAAACCCTTGTTGAACTCGCTGGCGAACTCATCGGTGAGCTTGCCGACGATGACGGAGCCCTCAAGGCCAGCGTTCTCGACGATGGCACGAGCAGGGCGGGTGATGGCGTTCTTGACGATGGTGACACCAAGCTGCTGGTCGAAGTTGGCGGTCTTGACGTCCTTAAGAGCAAGGGCAGAGGCCTTGATAAGGGCGGTACCACCACCGGGCAGGATACCCTCCTCAACGGCGGCGCGAGTGGCGTTCAGGGCATCGACGAAGCGGTCCTTCTTCTCACCGACCTCAACCTCAGAGGAGCCACCGACCTTGATGACGGCGACACCACCAGAGAGCTTGGCCAGACGCTCCTGGAGCTTCTCCTTCTCGTACTCGGAGGTAGTGGGGTCGTTCATGACGCCACGGATCTGCTCGCAGCGCTGGGAGATGGAGTCCTTGGCACCCTCACCGTTGAGGAAGATGGTGTCCTCCTTGGTGATGGTGATGGAGCCGGTGGAGCCGAGCATGTCGGGGGTGGCCTTCTCGAGCTTGATGTCAAGCTCCTCGCTGAAGACGGTACCGTTGGTAAGGACAGCCAAGTCACCGAGGATGGACTTGCGGTTGTCACCGAAACCGGGGGCCTTGACGGCAGCGACCTGGAGCTGGCCACGGAGCTTGTTGAGAATGCAGACGGCAAGAGCCTCACCCTCAATGTCCTCGGCAATGATGACGAGAGGACGTCTCAGCTGGGTGGAGGCCTCAAGGGCGGGAATGATGTCCTGGACAGCAGAGATCTTCTTCTCGGAGAGGAGGATCAGGGGCTTCTCGAACTCGACCTTCTGGGACTTGGCGTCGGTGATGAAGTAGGGGGAGACGAAGCCGCGGTCGAAGCGCATACCCTCGGTAACCTCGAGCTCGTCGACCAGAGTCTTGCCCTCCTTGACGGTGATGACACCCTCCTTGCCGACCTTCTCCATGGCCTTGGCAATCAGGTTGCCGACCTCCTGGTCACCGTTGGCGGAGATGGTGGCGACCTGAGCAACCTCCTCGCTGGTGGAAATATCTCTCTTGTTCTTCTGAAGGAAAGCGACGACCTCGTCGACAGCAGCCTGGATACCACGGCGCAGGTCCATGGGGTTGCAGCCAGCGGCGACGTTCTTGACGGTCTCGGAGAAGATGGAACGGGCGAGGACGGTGGCGGTGGTGGTACCGTCACCAGCGGTCTCGTTCGTCTTGGAGGCGACGTCCTGGATGAGGCGGGCGCCGAGGTTCTCGAACTTGTCCTTGAGGGTAATTGCCTTCGCGACAGTTACACCGTCTACGAATCAGTCAGCTTTTTGATGGAATCCAACTCAATTGCATGTTTCCTTACCCTTCGTGATCTTGGGGGAGCCATAGCTTGACTCAATGAGGACGTTGCGACCCTTGGGGCCAAGTGTTGTCGCGACGGCCTTGGCCAGAGTATCGGCACCAGCGAGCAGGGCAGCACGGCCCTCAACACCGAACTTCAGCTCCTGTAGACTGAGTTAGCATCCTGAAGCTGATGGCATTGCCAATGCTTCGCGACGTGTTGACGAACCTTGTGGGCAAAGCGAAGCTGCTGTCCCAGGCCGGCACCGGCACGGAACTTGCTGGGAGCAGCAGAGAGGACGGAAGCTCTCGCGCGGGAAGAAAGAGCGCGCTGCATCTTGAATCTTATTATGAGGGTATCTAGGTAAGAAAGAAGAAATACAGAACTAAGGATTGAAGATGTCGCCGGGTTTGAATCACACGTGTCGCTCCAAGGAGATGAAGTAAAAAGTTGCAGTGAATGATAGAATTGGAGAAGCTTCCCGTCACCGGCTCCAAAAATTTATCTCGGACGTTCGGCTAAACGAGGTCCCTTCTCGAGCGCCAGTACCAAAGGGGATTAGCGCAATTGTGGGTGCATTTCTACCGTCTTCCAATGGCATCTGTCTCCATTCTCAGCATCCGCACATGGTATCCCCTAGTGACCATTGCCGAATATTGACATGGGTTCGTCCATCGGAGAACATCGGCGGACGATCGACTATGGGGTTTCTCCTGAGCAACTGCACCGACTTACCAAGCAATACGAAGTAATGGACACATAGCATGAATCCCAACGTTGTAGCAGCTCAGCAAACATTGGATGGCACTTTAAGCAAGTCACGAGAACTGCCATCCGAGCAATGCGTTAGCCGCATGCGAGTTACACCTAGATTTAACGGTGCAACGTTTCAAACAAGCTTCTTTTCTTAGTCTCCTCATAGGTGCGCATGCCTCGACTTTATTGCAGCTGCTCACTGTACTTGAAACATCAAGAAACGGAGCGCCGGCGCCGTGGCGCCGTGATGCAACCCCTAACCTCTTGGCCGCGCTATCGCAAGGATGAGAATGCTACTACAAGGGAGTTAGTTAGAATAGGCACGATCTTCTTGCAACATATATCCTTAATTTCCAACTCGCTTGGGCAAGGGGCCGGAGCAACCTCCCAGATGGTGGTGCTCTTGGAGTATAAGAAGGGAGGCGGTCGAAGACGAGGACACGGAAGATATTGCAAGATCATCACCAGCATCCTGTACTCTAATCTCACAAATACACACTCACTCTTTCTGCAAATATGAAGTTGTCACTCCTTGCCGTCATCGTGGCCTCCGCCTCTGCCGCTCAAGGCGCCATCACATGGACCCTTGAGAAGGCCGCCAACCCCACGGCCGACCAAAGCGACGCATACACCAAAATCGAAGCCGCCATGAAGCTCGCCGTCGCAAGACACGCAAAGCAGGGAAAGGCCAGCAAGACCATCCGTGTCTACTACACACCCGGCGTTCCTACTGCCGAGGCCAACTACAACGGTGATCTCCGCTTCGGATCGAACCGATCTTACATGAACGAGCGTACGGCACTCCACGAGATCTCCCACACACTCGGCGTTGGTCAGACTGCCGCCTTCGACTCCAAATGCGCGTCCGGCAACTGGGCTACGGCATTGCCCCTGCTTCGCTCCTGGGATGGTTCCAGTGCCAAGATCAGCTGTGGCGGCTCGCATTTCTGGCCGTACGGGCTCAACTACGATACCGAATGGAGCGAGACAAACGCTGACCGTCACGTAAAGATCATCAACGCCATGATTGCTGATGGTATGTAAGGAGAGAGGGATTTCACATTTACCAAATTCGTGTACAAACTTCATTAAACGGCATTGAACCCTATGGTTCATTCGACTGTATATACATCACAAGACCGCAAGAAGCAAATCGTCCTGGCCTTTTGTTAAATACAACATTCGATCTCAAGAATACTGCAGCGTTTCTGGTGAAATTTTATGCTTTCATTTGTTTCTGAGGCCTGTCATGATTTGGTTTCGTGAGTCAAACGCGAGATCCGGCGGAAGGCGGTTGCAGAAGCTTGAACTGAAGTGTTCAGGATGGTACAATGCGTTGGTCTGCTGTGTCTAAATCTAGTGATGAATTTGCCCCAGGCGCTGCTAACGATTGATCCAAAGTGAGGAAAGCGGAAAACGGAAAAGGCAAAACTTCCGTGTCGAGCAACCCTGTTGCTGTTGCACAATCTCATCAGCAGCAATATCTGCGTCGTCTGTTGTTATGACTATCACACCGTAAACATTTCTCGCCCTCAGAAGCGACTAAGGAAAAATGCTACCAGAGGTGTGGTGAAAGACGGAAATGAGAGAAAGAAGAAAAGCAGAGCAAATAACAGAAGTACACACGACGGCATCTATCTCCTATCCTCATGCTACCTCCAACGCCAAAGTTCGTAATACCCCAACGAAATTCAAGGACTCGTTATCAATTCTAGTGTGCTGAAAGCCGTGGGTTATGTAACTCCATGGCGCGTCCATCGTTTCAGTGGAATTGAGTGAAGTCGAACAAATTCGAGTTGAGTTCCTTGAAGTCGAATTCCTGACCGTCGCCCACATGGTTGGGGCCAGTAGCTGTGACATGGTGATTGGCATGGTGATTGGCATCTTCATGCAGGTGATGTTCACCTTGGAAGCCACCGTTGAATCCACCATTGACGACATCACCGAAGCCATCGCTCAAAGCCCGAAAAACGGGCTCATTGAGTGATGAAGTGCCCGGGAATATATTCGTCGTCGGAGTGCTGCCAAACGGGGTTGCAGCACCAGCTTCCTGGTCATTGAGGCCGTCGAGATAGCTGCCCAGGTTGACCGGGATCGGGATGGCATATGTCGTATAGCCATTCTCGGTTCGCATCGGGTACATGATCTCGGAGCCGGATATCAAAGAGACGCCACCACTGACGCTCGCAGGCACCTTGAAAAGATAGTATGCCATGGGAGGGAGACCCTCGACATATATCCGTGCTTCGTTTAGAGGTTCGTCATGCTTCCAGGCTTCGATCGCCTGCCTATACAGGGGCATATCGTTACCCACATTGAGATGCTGGGTCTGCCACTCCTGCTTGATTTGCTCTACCTGATTATGCTGGCCCGAATACTGTGCCTGGTGGAAGGGCTGCTGCTGAAGCTGGGCGTCGTTCTGGGCATCGTGTTGGGCCAGGCTGAACTGTTGAACGTGGTGGAACAGCAATTCTCCAGCTTGCTGTTGAGGGTTGAGGATGTCGTGAACTCGGTGACTTGGCTGCGCTTCGTCGTTGTGCACATAATGACCCAACTGAGCAGGAGCCTGGTAAGGAGCCTGGTAAGGAGCCTGATAAGGGTCCTGGCCAAAAGGAACTTGAGAGGACTCTCCATCCTATCCGATGTCAGTGATTGCAGAGGAAGAGGTGGTTCGAAATTTACCTTTTTGAGAGCCTCGTTGATATTCAAGGACCCCTCGTCATCGTGTTCATCCACCATGGCATCGTAAGCCTCGCCATCGTCCAATTCTCCCTTGCCTGCTGCGTTGGTAATCAACTGCTAGTTGTCGCCTTGCTGGCAGGGCTGGAGAAACGGCTCATCAAAGCTGATGGGCCTGATAGCATCCTCATTCTCGGCGGTCGGCGTATTGATATAGCCGCGGGTGTTCTGGTCTCTCTCCAAGCTCTTGGCCTGGCTGGGAAGAGGTGGAACACAGTAGCCCATCTTGAGAAGTCGCTTGCGCTCCCGGGCAAGGAATTGAGTGAATGCTGTTGATGTCACTCCAGTGAAGCACTGGGGAATGACATCATCCCAGGGCATCTTGCCGTGCTCTTTGGCACAGATATACTGCACCCAAAGGAGTGTCACAAGCAAGGGTTCTTCCTCTGCTCCTTCAATCAATCGCCATGAACACTATTCCGATGAAAAGGATTCTACTTACTCCTCCACTGGATGAGGGCCCGGTTTTTTGGGCGAGTGGTGATCTTGACACCCTTCTTAGGGACTTTCTGTTCTTTGGCAGAGGTGTTCTTTCTCGCCGTGGTATTCTTTCGGACTTTGGCATCCTGTTTCGCCCTCGGGATACCAGGGAGCTTGCCCATGGACTTCTTGGAAGGCGCCATTGTGGCAGCTAAAAGCGGATTTTGTTAGTACGGAATGCTATCACTGAGTTCTGCGCAAACGACAGAATGCCGGTAGCCAAGCAACAAAAGAAGCCACAGGTGGATTCATGCAGACAAGAGAATGGTGAGTAAAAAGGGGTGGTGAAACGCAAATCATCAGGCAAAAGCAATCTATCTCAAATAGAACGCAGTCTTTGTGTAATGGAGCGTTAGGGGGAGAAGCAACGTGAAGAAGGAGGGTCAAACCAAAGGAGGGATGAGGCATGACTTACCACGGTGATGTCAAGTAAATGAGTGAGGAGTGAAGAGGTTTGAAGGGCGATGCGTGAGTCTGAATCGTCTGAATATATCCACGAGGTGTTAAGGAGCACTTCTCGTAGTGGTCGTGATCGAGATGAATACGGAAGGGATCTATAGCGTTTGGTGTTTTGTGGTAGGCAATGGAAAATAGATGCGGAAATGGGCGCGGAAATGGAGAAAAGTCAGAAGTCACGACTTTTGGATGGGTGTGGGTGGAAGAAAGCAGAGCAAGCTGGGAAGCAGGGCAGGGTCGCGAGGCTATTGACAGAGAAGGGCGGTTGGGGCCCGTGGGTGGGCAGGTCGGTATCGACCCCACTTGAGGTGGCTCGTTCGGTAAGGTGTGAAGGCGTCTGCCTCGAGCAGAAGTTGAAGACGCGTTGGGAGTGTTTGGGTTGTCGAAGGTGAGGGAGGCGGACGCGTATGGGATACGCGGTGGCCTGCCAGGCAATCTACAATCTAGGTAGCTGCTATAAATGCGGGAATGGCTTCAGGCGTTACCGGGTGATCGCCTCGTTTCTGTCATATCTCGTGAAACAAAGCATTTCTTTTTCTATGTCCTTACGGTGCCTTCGAAGGGCGATGATAATATCTTCATCACTACCCACAAATGTTACAGGGATAGACACCATGTTCTTCTCGCAGTGCCCCTGAGAGACGACAGCTACTCCAGCGGACGGGGAGATACAAGCCCTTTGAAGATTCCCTGTTGCCTCGAGGTGGGAAGTCGACTCGTTGTGGGACTGCTGCTTATGGGGGATATCAAAGGGTTTACGCAACAAGGCGACAAATCTCGCAAAAAATTGATCTCACGAGGGAACAAAATACTCAATGTGAAACGAATTATTAATCTCGTGGTACGTACGAGTCAAACTACCAGTGATCTACAAAACCAATTTCCTCCCATCATGCCTTCCATCTTTCCAAAGCTTGGTGATCGGATGTGTCGTGTACGTCTCAGAGGGGGGAGTGCTGGCCACAAAGTCGGACAGCTGAATGTTGAAGCTTCGTCATGAGCTTCATTACTTGGAACCCGCCTCCTTATTCGATTGCTTTCTTCCAGTGATGGTTCGCAAGAATCTTCTGAATCTAGACTTCGTGGACTGCGAACCCATGATGCAGCCCTTCTCGTACTTTTGTCCTGAGACTTGGACTGCAGAAGCGGCCAGTCGTGCGCTACCGTCATAGAGTTCTCCGCCAGACACTTGGTATTGTGGCACACGTGTAGCTGTAGCGTAGCCGGGGGGCTGATCGTAGTTGGATTGGCGTTGCTTGCTGGGGAAGTGTTGCTGAGGAAGAGGAGACAACTGCTCCTTGATTGCAGCTTGGACTGCGGCTGCAATGATGGCGGGTAAGTTGGTGGTGAGTCGGTTCAGGTCAGTTTGAACCATTCCCAAAGCTGTGTTAAGCATGCTGAGGGAGCCATTGAAAGTGTTGCCCTGTGTCGCCAGAACAGTGTTGAGTGTGTTGATTTGAGCGCCCATTGCAGTACTCATGGCCTCTGCCGATGTACCCATTGCAGAACTCATGGCCTCTGCCGATGTATCCATTGCAGTAGTCACAGCCTCCATGGAAGTACCCATGGTGGACTGAAGAGTCGACATGATTGAGGCGAGGTTGTTGAGTTGTGCGGTCATCGCACCATCGAAGCCATCAAGTTGGTTATCGAAACGACTCATATTGCCCTCCATGCGAGTGGCATTCATGCGCAGAGGATTGGCGACGTCAAGAAGAGTGCGCTCCGCAATCTGCATAAACTCCTCGGCGATGGCGTCCAAGTCGTCTTGGGTGGGGTTGTTGATGCCCTTGCGCTGAAGTGCCGCCTGTGTAATCTCCAACATGCGCGCTTCCTTGTTGATTGAGCTCATCCAGTTTTGAAGTCGGTGATCCACCTCTTGAAAGTTGGCTGGGGCACCTTGCATCTCATCGCGGGCCTTGATGCGACGAGCAATGTCGACCTTGAGGATGTTGTACTGGTCTGAGGGCGGTGCAGCAGGATCGCCACGAGCATCGCGAAGGCGTTTGAGGTGCTGGTAGTCCTCGATAATGGTTCGGGGTTCTTCAGCTGCAGAATCGCTCTTTGGGAATTCTCCTGTCTTGCGTGCCGCAGACACCGTCTGAGCCATGGCTTGAATGTGTCCTGGGGCGTATGGAGTGTTGCCCACCAAGACATAGTTGGCGAAGCTTGGCGTCACGACAAAATGGGCTTGAGCAAGACTGGAAGACTTCTCTGTGTCTTCGTTCTCAGTGGTCGGGAACGACACCTCTGTGTCAGTGGGAGAGTCAGGCGAAGAGAACAAGCTGTTGGTGTTGCTCGAAGTGCCGGATCGGGGCGACGAGGCGCCAGACGAGAGCTCCCAATGACTGCCCATGTCGGCATCAGGTGAGAGCGGAGAGGCAGACATTGCGTCGCGATGGATTGATGTCGTAATTCCAATCGCGTGATGGGGAATGAAGAGTTTGATGACTCCGTCTGTTGAAGCAATCAGTTATTTGTCCAAACCTCGAAGCTTGAGATGGGAAGAAAAGAAAGAGGCGAAAGAGGCCGCGGCCGGCGAAGTACATACCAATGGGTCCAGAAGCTGGAGATGTAGAAGGGAAGAAATACTTCTTCTTCAATGACTACGAGATGCTTTGCTTGTCGTTTGATGGATTGAACGAAAATTGATTTCTTCAATCGTTCGTCTGGTGGAGGGGACGGTTGCCGCGATGAAGAAGGGAAGAAGAAAAAAGACAACTTCGCTGGGTTGTGGGAGGGGGAAGAAATCAAATTTGCGTGTACGGCCCACACAGAGGAAAGCCGGAAAATTTTGGGGGCAGCTGTTTGTGTGCTCTCGGCTGAGCTGGCCGAAAAATGTTGCCTTGGTGAGGTGAGGGAAGGAGGTGAGGTGGGAAGAAGATGGGAGGAAGGTGCGATGAGAAGGTGAGGTGTGGATGGGGCACTCTGGTTGGCTGCAGAGTCTCCGGACTGAGAGGTCAGGCAGAACGTCCACGGGTGCAAGTGAGCATGAGATGCTCCGGTTGACCTCAGGTTTCTCCGAGAGTACGTGAGGTGTTTTCTTAGATTGACATTGGGAAGGAAGGAGGGAAGTGCAGAGGGAAGTGCACCTGCCTGATGTACGCTTACCTGTCTATATTGCCTTTGTGACCACCCGAAGATGCTGGAAGCCAACACGCTCGTATCCTTGGTGACTTGTCACGTTACCATAGATATCTTGCGTCCAGAAGATTCAATTGGCAATGCGAAGTCTCTCTGTGCTCTCGAATTTAAGATGCAGACCATGTAAAATGGAGTTGGCTGGCATGGGTGGAAGATAGTAGATGCCCCAAAGGCAAACGAATTCATCGGGGCGTAAATGAGCAGGAGTCACGGGCTTGGAATGACTGATATGGTATGAACTTATCACATGAGATTTCAATATCAATCACTCGCAAGATTCCCGCCGCGCGCGCAGCAGCAGCACCGTCTGAAGGCCAGAAGACCCGGGACGGCAAACAAGGCATGCGATGAAGCAAATTGGGTAGCATCATGGACCCTCATGACAGACTTATGTCATATCCTATGCGATTCAACTGGCGCAGGATACGACAAGCAATCGCCGTGGTGAAAGGCAGGCACGGAACTCCACGAGGAGGCTATCCTTACAAATGAAGTAAGGGTGTCGTTGAAATTGAGCCCCAAATGCTCCGGAAGAAGTGGGATAACCCATGCCGACCGTTGCCGAGACAGTTCCACTTTCCCAATCAGGCAGCGCCATGGCGGAACCTTCAACAGCACGCACCATTCTCGAGTCTCACGAAGCCTGTATGAAGATCATTGCATTGCGAAAGAAGTGAACGTCACTCGTTCTATTTCTTGAGTCTCTAATTCACCCTAACCATTTTCACTCCCATGTATGAGCCATCTCTGCGAGCGCATGTTGGTGAGCCATGACGGCAACATCGTCCCTGTAAAGAGCCAATCTCCAATCCTACTCAGAATTTGTTAGAAAAGTCTTGGAAGAACTGACTAAAAACTACTCACATATCCCGGCTAACTGTGCTGCTTCTAGCTCCCCATGTATCGCGCACGTATCTGGCCATGCGTAGACTGGCATTTCCTGTGGGAATCCCCAGCCCTGATAGCAAGCTGGCATGTCGCTAAATCTCGGCATGCTCGTCGGCCTTGGGACCATCTGTGTGAAACCCTCGGTATTAGTATCGCTCGAAACGGACGCGGAAGAAGGACTTCGAGATCCGCCGCAATCGTGAATCGGGCAATCGCTCGTCTTCTCCACAACGTAGAGAAGTTGCAAGTCATCATCGTCATCGCCATCGCGGCCTCGGGGGATGTCGTTGTACGAACCGTTGGTTGAGTCAGTGCCAGAGGCCTCGGGGTCGTCCTTGACCTTGAACTGAGGCAGATCCTCAGCATCGTCCTCGTCATTGTAAGACGAGACAGCCGGGTGGTTAGCCAGCTTAACGCGCTTCGTCTCCTTAGTAGGAGTCTCAGTAGGGGTGCGCTTGCCCTTCGACTTCGGCGTAGCCTTGCCCGGGGTCTTGGGGCTGGCGCTGCTGCCACCAGGAGGTGCAGCACTGCCTATGGGGCCAGCCTTGGACAAGTCGCTAGTCTTCATGCCATGAGGCTTGAGGATGCGCTCGAAACGCTTGGCACTGGACGGCATGCCAGGTCAGCTTGTTCCTGTCGAAAACTTGACGAGGAGCGTGGGAAGAAATTTGACTTACGCAGCGGCCTTGGACGCGATGTTGCAATCGGTAGCAACCGCCTGGAAATCGATCTGTTCTTGTTAGATGATTTGAGTCTCTAGATGTAATCAAGTGATATGGCACTTACCTTTCCACTGGAAGAATGCTTGATGCAGTGAACCAGGAAGGTCACCTGGCCCTCAGCATCGGTTCCGACAGAAGCCATCTTGAGTGGAGTGGAAGAGGTTGAGTATGGGTATTGTTGGGGGAAGTTAAGTATGAGTAGTCTTATATGAAGATGAATTCCGAAAGCAAGGCCCAAGAGCTGGAAGGTTGAGGGGTTGTTGTGAAGAAGAGTTAGGTTGGTGAGAAGTTCTGGTGAGAGGCTGGCTCAAATAGTCAAGCTTGGTCTCTGATGGACTGGGATTGGCAAGAACCCAGGAGATGAGGCGGGTACAAGTGGTTCAAGATGTGGACAGGTTAGGCAGGTGCCTGAAGGCTCTTATCAATATGGCGGGAGCAGTCCGGACCGTCAGTGGGTAGTCAAGACGAACGACCATGGCAGTCTGGACGAAAGGCGAGAACAGTCTGGACGAAAGGCAAGACACTTGACGACACTTCAATGATCAGGTGATAAGGCGAGAGCTACTCAGACAAGAGGCAGGAACAACTAGTTCAGAATGTGGCTGATCAGGCAGTTGACTAAAGGAACTTCACTGTGCTAGCGGGAGAACTTAGGATACACATTTGAATATTAGACCATATGGTGAGATCTGTCTACCTGAGACAAGAGGCACTCACAGGTGGTTCAAAACATGAATGAGGCAGATCAGTCGAGTGGTTGAAGGGTCGTATCAATAATGGAGAAGATGCTCTAATCGAAAACAAGACCAGACGAAATAGCGAGAGCTACCTATCTAGACAAGAAGCAAGAGTATGCGGTTCAAAAGGTGACAAGAGACAAGGCAGTTGGTCAAAGAAATTCCAACAAATGGCGAGCAAAATCTGGACGAAAAGAAGACCAGACGACAACACAATGATCAGACGTTGTTCAGACAAGGCGAGAGCCACAGAAAGAACGGGAATACTAATCTAGATCTTGGGATGATTACAAGACATAGCTATACGGATCAGACCCTGCTTGATGGACCATTCCTCGACCTAGAGACAATTTCTAGACCCAGAAAAATCAGGCTGAGCTTCAGGAAATCAAGAAATGAAGGGCAAATAGGTAGGCTTTACGATGACATTATGGTTTCGAAAAGGATACGGCTTCTGAGACGAGTTAGAATTGAGTTGCTCAAGCTAGCATATCCTGCTATCACCCAACCCCAATCCAGATATTCCCCACGCTAAGACCATATGCAGAGAGTTCGCCGGCTTCGTATCCCTTTCCTGCTGAGCACTGACTGGAACACAGCGTTCAGTCACAGCGAAGACATTCAGTCGGAGTCGCTATCCGGGTTATTGAGCTCTGCCTTGGCAGCAGCTTCGCCATCGGTGTCAGACTCGAGCTTGCCCGTGATGTCCTCGTCAACGTCAGAGCCGGAAGACTCGTTCTTCTTGGCGGTCTATTAATGGTCAGCATAGGTACTTGACGGAGGAGATACTTTGAGGATTGAAGAAAAAGAAAATTCCGGGGAATGAATTGCAAAAACATATCATACGACTCACCTTCTTCTTGCGCTGGGCGATGCCCTTCTTCTTGACGGGCGTCTTCTTCACTCCGACAGGCTTCTTAGCAGGGCTGCCACCGCTGGAGCCATCAGTGGCGGACCAGCCATGCTTCTTGGAGATGGTACGAAGGCGGTCTCTGGCACTCTTGCCATTGGCCAAGCCCATGATACCGGCGACGTTTTCATAGTCGATGTCAGGGCGCGTATTCATGCTGTCAAAGACAGCCTTGACGAACCTGGCCTCGGTTTCCGTGAGGATGGGGAGGGCGGACTCGCCCTCGGTAGCAGTGGACTTCTTGGGAGGCATTATGCTAGCTCAAGTCAGTAAAATCTTCAGTGAAGGCTTCTCAAGTATGAGATATGTGAGAGTAAAGTAACTTACGATGGTGTCTGGTGATGTGTAGATATCGATGTGGAGAGTAATGCTGGATTTTGCAAGTTGTCTATGTGTCTGCTGAGTGACCTGGGAAAAGTGTGGGAAGAAGGAAGAAAGAAAATTTCGGCTTCAGCCTCAGTAGAAGGGGTTTTGAGTCCCCCATAGGCACCGGTCCATCAGTCGAGAAGGTGCCCTCACTCAGAGTACCCGCCTTGTGAGGCTGCTGTGCCCGTACGGGGCGGGAGCAGATCAGTCAACGTTCCGTCAAGTTAGGCTACCGAGGGAGGCTGGCAATACTGAAAACTGGAAAAGTGTGGCAAGATAGATAACAATGGAGGCGAGAAGAGACAAGAAGAGCAAAGACAACTGACAATTCTGATGGAGAGAAAGATAAATAAATGAAGGACCTCACCACAAGTGACTTCAAGGTTGTTTTGCTGATCCTATACTTTTCTTACTGACATATTGAGGCCTAACGAGATCAGGTCAGACTCAACGGTGATGGGCAGTGGCTTTTGGGTGTTGCAGACTTACTCATCTGAGTATCAGGCCAGACATGAAGCGTGATCTCACATATGGACAGATGTTACTCGAGTGGCGTATGGACTTGAACATTCCCAGAAGTCACGACGAGAAGGGTAAAAGTGCTCCTGTAAACTCGAGATCGTATCGACTTCCTGGCTGGGCTATCCCCAGACTATCCTGGCACCGTGGACATATCGTATAGGCCACGCCTAGAATCCACCTCTCCAAAGATCTCCGTTCCTGAACATCCACTCATTCTCGGCAATCTGGTAATCGAGAAGTCTTCTTAAATGTCGAACACTTCTTCCTTGGTCTTGATGACAGCCTTGTCATCACCGGCCTCGTCCTCGACCTCCTCATCCTCGACCTTCTTATCCTTGACGATCTTCTTGCCCTTGGCGCCCTTGGCGCCAACTCGTCCAGTGGGCTTCGTGACCTTCGAGCCAGAAGTCGGGGTGCTGGTAGAAGCCTGCGCAGCCTTCTTCTTGGGGGTGGCCTGATCAGCCGGTGTGAACTTGCGCTTGATCTGACCCCACCTGGTCTGAACGTCAAAGTATTAGCACATGTTGATTGCGTAAGTATTTTTGTCAAGGGGACCGCGAACGTACTCGAGCGACACCCCCGCTTTTGAAGCCAGCGGCAACAGCGAAGCTGTCCCAGTCAATCACGGGCTTCTCGGTCATGTGCATAAAAACATGACACATGAAGTTGACATCGGATGCGGACATCTCAGGAAGGTTCTGGTCAGCCATGATGTTCTTCTGAAAGATTTTTGTCAGTTTGATAAGTTCACTCTGGAAGTGATGATCGGATAGAGCATACTGTGGTAAGTTCTTAGTGTGTGAAGGTTTTTGCTGTGCGGCGGAGATATTTTGGCTAAATCTCATCAGTATTTTGAATTTAGAAGCATTTTTGGTTGAAGGAAAACTTACTTCTATCTTGGTGACTTGGTGATTGTTGCAGAAGCAGGTATTTTGTGGTTATGGGTGCGTGGTTGTGGGGGATGAAGAAGTTTTGAAGCTCACTTGAGTGTGGATAATATGAAGTCGGGAGATCCAGTGAATCGGAAAGGAAAGAGGAAAAAGAAATTCGCGCTGCAGTCAAAAAACGGAAGGATCTAGGTAGATGGAAGGAAGTATGGGTTAATCAGGCAGTGACGCGGTCGACGGTGGTTCCGGTCTTCCATACTTACCTAGCAATAAGAACCAATATGTGCATTTGTCCTCGATTTTGATAGAGATCCTGAATACATGATAGGAAAATCATCACAGTTCTCAAGTGAAGGCAATTGTGTATATCGCTTGGTTATCAGGGGCCATTTAACGTTGCGGACTTGACATCTAGACTTTTGACTTTGTTCCCATACCCACGCGTGGACAACATCTCTGAAAATCGTTTCTTCCCGAACGCCTATGATTAATATTATTCTAGGGTTATGTGACGAGGTGACATGGGATTTCAACAGCTATCGGTTGCCATGGCCCTCCTGGGTACAGCCACGGCAACCACAAAGATCGCGATGTTAATTGAGTACAAATAAACCCAAGAGACTCTCACTCTTTCCAAATGTTCAGGGGGCTGAGATTGTATGTTTGATCGGGATTCGGCACAGAATACCCCTAGTAGTATGATTCCACACAGCCACATTCTCGTTGGTACAAGAATTACCTCGTGCATTTCGACCGGCAGATACTGGCAGCCACCTTCCTGCCTAATGATTGAACACATGATGTGGAAAAAAAAATCCATTCTCGAAGCAAAATCCATGGTAAATGGGGTTTGCAAGCATGTAGATGTTGGCTATGGCTCTGATGGGGTTCTACACACCCGGCCAACAAAACAGAGTCCTTGGCGAGCCGTTGGTTCACGACTTAACCCACCGAATCGGGAATACTGCTCGTTGAATCCTCCAATCAGCGATTAACAAATCGAAGAATGTTTTGAGGGGCCTGGGGAAGGTGTCAGGGTGAAGGAGTCTTTTCCGACATGGTCGCAGTTCAATCTGATGCGGCACAAGACGACCCCAGCCACTAGGTTCTATGTCTTTTGCCATTTTGCGATATTTGAGTCCGAAGACCTGCAATTCCCTCCAAATCATCTCGATGCAGAACCAATAAATCATGCCAAAAGAAGAGGTCTACGATCTTCATCCTCACGGTTGGGAGAACGACCCAGAAGTGGAGAGATTCAGAGTCTCTACCCTAGATTATTTGACGTGCCAAACATATAACCACTACGCCGTATTCTTCCGCCTAGACGATGCCGCCAAACCAAGAGTGATCGAAGTTCTGAAAGCAGGTCTTGAGAGAACGCTTGCTCAGGTCCGCCAGTTAAACGGAAGAATCGAGAAAGACCCTTGGGGCGACTACTCCTTCACCAAAAGAAAGGACTCGACCGTCCGCTTCGTCGTTCAATGGCTTGATGCCCCAGAGGATGCCGACAAGTATCCGTCCTTCGATGACATTGAGAAAGCCAACTTCAGCGCCGTATCCCTCGGCGATCTCAGGCTCTGGGCCGTGTCACTGATGACTTACGGCGAGAGGCCCGAGGCGACTCCGGAGCATAGTCCCGTCATGGCAGGCTTCAAGGCAAACTTCGTCCGCGGCGGACTCGTCTTCAGCACGCACCACCATCATTACTCCCAAGACGTCATGGCCTGGGCCGGCTTCATCCACCAGCTGGCCGAGAATTGTTCTGCGTTTAGCAATGGCACTCCCTACCCTTCGTGGGACCCGGCCTGTAATGATGTCTCCCGCTTTCTCAAGCCCGAGCCTCCAGGGGAAGAGAAGGTTGATGGACCACCGCCACCTGACAGACACCCCAACCACAAAGTCGGAATCTGCCTTCTCTTCCATCTACCAAAGAGTAAAGCCGCTCAGCTGAAAGACCTTGCAAAGCCTGAGGACGGTACGTGGGTCTCGACTTACGACGCCTTTTCGGCGTTCATGTGGCGGCACATGACTCGTCTCAGAGCCCCGGTGTTCAAGACTCCGCCAGAATCAAAGCTCTTCTGGTGCGAGACCATCGACATGCGTCGACGTCTGCACAGCCCAAAGGTGCCCGCTCGCACTCAGCAAAACGTCATGTACGTGGCCATGTCTACGACGGCACCCGTGGAACAACCCACGGTATCGGAGCTCATCTCAGACTGGCCGTTCTGGCGGGTAGCTCGGTATGTGCGACAACTGACGGACAGCGTGACGCAAGAAAGTCTCGACGAAACGCTCAAGATGGTGGCGACGATCCGCGTGAAGTCGAGCCTCAACTCAAGAATCGATTCGCATCCGCCCATGTCGACCATTGTGGTAGACCACCGTGACGCCAATATTCCTTCGGCAGACTTTGGCTTCGGGAAGCCTGCGACTTATCGATACCTAATGGGTCGAATATCTGAGGGTGGCATTCTTGTCTACCCGCCTCGAGATCCGACGCCTGAGTCAGATGAGGGTCTGGAGATTGCCATCATGTACGAGAAGGAACTGGCTCAAGCGCTCATCAAGGACTCTGAGTGGAACAAGTTCTTCGAATACAGGGGCGTTGATGCCGAGCATACCGAGGTGTAGATATGGCAGATACCTGAGAAATGCGATTTTCAGCTTCTTTTTCTTTATCTTCTGTGTGGATTGTCTGAGCCATCATCGCTTTTTGAAAGCTGTTGATTCGGCATTCTCGATGACGAAAATCAAGTTGTGCAACACCAAACCCTTTTCCCAGTCAATGCTCCCTGTTGCCATAGTTCACGACCCCTAAGTATCCTTTGAGCCTGTTTGACACCTAAGTGACGTCTGGAATATGTCGCGCAGCCCAGTACTTAAGTACTTGGTATGTCCAAATTGAGGTAAGTACAGCTAATTCTGATATTGGGAAGATCTTAAGGAAACCAGTATCTCACCGGAGAAGTGCCAAGGAGCCCTAGTGATGCTTTCTTACACCAGACACGGCTCCCACGTGAACGGATGGGTGCTGACACACTCGCAATCTCAGCTTAGGAATCGGCGCCTCCACTCTGACATGGCGGCATCGGTTCCCGATGGTCTCCACAACGGAGCGGGACGCATCTCACCAAGCAAAGCCCTCGCCTTATCAAATACCGACATGGTACTTAGCTAAGCCACCAACGTCTGCCCCATCTTCCCATCGCCAAGTAGGCAGGACGTCATATTCTGAAGCTCTACGTCGGTGGGGCTGGGGAAATGAGGTTCTGCAGCTCGTCTATCTTACTCAATGCTTTGCTAACCTTGCTCGCACTGCGTTAGGTAAGGTAGGTAAGGTAAATTCTTCTCGGTCACATCGAATTTGTCGAGCTTAGTCAAGCCCACGCATCGACTGCCTCCAGGCTCCCCAGCAACGAGATCTCGGAAGAGGGAACAACTCCATGACGGAGACCGGATTTACAGAGAAGAACGGCAATGCTCACCTTTCTCCGCAATCTCAATATGCGGGTGTGGGTCGCACCGAGCGGAGTTCCACCTCGAAGCAACCCAGGACCGCTCGGTAAGCGTGAACCACCCAATGACAAACATCACAAACTACCGAAGAGGCTTGATGGGTTCGCTGTGGCATTGGATGAACCAGGGGAGCTTACTAACGTCCAACGTCTTGGTTACCGAATGCTTGCCAAAAGCCATACGCCTTTTCCCCATCGTCAACTTCAGCATGTTTCCTAACGGGGAAATTTCCTATCAAGGAGGGACGGGCAAGGCTTTGACAATGCCCTGCATCTTGCATGTCGACTATTCGGAATTGTTCCTTATGCTTCTAGGATTCGGATCTATTGGAAACCCCACCTGTCGATAACGTGCTTGGCTTGGTCATTGACAACCACGCGTTCGTCCACGATGCTGGCTGAACGGAGTCTACTCCGAAATGAGGGACTTTGGCCACTGGTGTTACTGTCACTTGAGGGCGTTTTTGCTTCCGCTGTACATCGTTAGAATTCTGTATAAGAAGAGAGAAGGGCCTTGCCTCTAATCATCGCTTTTTCTTCCATCCTCATCCAGCAGACAAATCAAGAGCAGTCTCCTTCATCTCAAAGACTCGAACAACTCGCCAAAGGTCCAATACCTCAAGACATCCTCTCTCTCACGATGAAGTTCTCCATGACTGTCGCCGTCTCGGCGCTCTTCTCCGCCGTCGCCAATGCTGATGGTAAGCTTCCCACCCAATGGCTTCATCTCAAGTCTCCTTGGATACAGCACAGCTCTACTAACACGAGCCAAAGCCGTCCCCTGGGAGAGGCTCAACAAGAACGACTCGATGCTGCTCGTCGTCGACATGCAGGAGGGTCTCTTCAACCTCGCCCGCGACTTTGATCCCACCCTCTACCGCAACTCGATGCTCGCTCACTCCTCCCTGGCCAAGGTCTTTGACCTCCCCGTCGTCCTGACCACCTCCGCCGAGACCGGTACGAGTCCCTCAACCCCTCTTATTGCTTTCAGATATCTGACAAACGAAACCAACAGGTCCCAACGGCCCCCTCCCCCAGGAGATCCTCGACATGCACCCCACCGCGCCCCTGATCAAGCGCAACGGCGAGGTCGACGCCTGGGACAACTCCGACTTCCGCGACGCCGTCCGCGCCGCCAACAAGTCGCAAATCATTCTCGCGGGCATCACCACGGACGTCTGCACCACCTTCCTCGCCTTGTCGCTCCGCGCCGAGGGCTACTCCGTCTGGGCCAACGTCGAGGCCTCGGGCACCACCACCGAGCTCATCCGCGACGTCTCCAACGACCGCATGGCCGCCGCCGGCGTCCAGGTCGTCTCCCTCTTCTCCATCTCCCTCGACCTCATGCGCGACTGGCGCAACACCCCCGGCGCCCTCGAGCTCTTCTCCTGGCTCGACACCTACTACCCCGCCTACGGATACATTGCCCGCGGCCACCGCGCTGCCGTTAACAACGGTTCCGTTTCTGCGGCTCAGGAGACTCTGCCTTTGTAGGACAGAAGCGGAGTAAAAATTTGGGTGTTCTCTGGGTTGAGAATGGGAGGATGGTATGATTCCCGAAAATAATGACTGTGGAAAATCCTGGGTATTCCCAGGACGCTCGACATGGCTCCATGTACTTCATCTTCTTGTCTCTCATTGATGAGCCTCCGCGGCTATAATAGAGATTGGCATCTTCCTGGTGTCTTTGTTTCGCAAAATTCCAGAATGGACTCAAAATGGACATAATAGAGAACTTTTGACTGATCTTGTCTCCTACATGGTAGGAAAAAGTGAGAAAAAGCCGCCCGCTCTTGTTCTTGAAGCCGATCGTGGAATAGCAAGACATACGGAAACCGCCCATCGCATACCATAACTTGTGGTGAACTGACTCAGTCTTATTTATATCAACGGACCGTTTGCAGATCATCCAAAGTGACCCAGTCCCCCGACTTCCCATATCCCGAATAGGCAAGTCGCGGGCCACCCGGCGCCGAACACACGGGCCAACACGGGGCCGGTCAAGTGGATACCAACGCCGGGGCCAGATGCAGAACGCAACGTCTTCTTCCGGGGTGTGATAAGTGGGAACCTCGACGCGGCCCGATGAAGCGGTCTACAGGGAGGGCTGTATAAGTGATCAGCGGTGAGCTGCGTGCGGTTCATGTAAGTTTGACAACCGCCGCGGATGCCGGAGGGGAGTTCCCACGCGAGAGTGGTAGGGTTAGAGACCGTATGCGGATGAAGCAGCGCCGTTAGGTTTCTCAGTATGTGGGTTGTTGCTTTTGACGGATACGGAGGGGGACGGATGGGAAGATCTCGATGGTTGGCATGTATGCCTCATAAGGGCTGTTCACAGGAGTCTCTGGATTCCGGCTTCACTTTCAGCTCAGGGGTAAATGGCGTTTGCGGATATTGTGCCTGACCGCCATACATGCCTCAGAGCGCCATCCGCATCAAACTTACGGCACGATCAGGTACGGCCTCAAGGTAACACG